TATCGCTAGGTGTTTCCACTGTACTGAGGTGAAAGCGGTGAGACAAAAGATGCAAAAGAACTACCAATGGGCCTGAATTCAAGATGCGGGATGCGAAATGTCTGGAGAGTTCAGCGCACGATCAGGGTGTGGCAAAGCCAATCAAAGGGGGCTTTGCTTCACTCACCAGCAAAGGAGGCTATCGACAGGCCACTGCACCGAGTGGCAAGCATGATTCCGGAGGCCCTTGTCACAATTGCATTGACATCAGCTACCCTGACTCTTGCCTAGGGAATCAGGTGTTGCAGCGCCAAACATGCCATGGAAAATCCCATCTCATTGCACAACCCTTTCAACTGATTGCACGAACGAAGTGAGAGGCAAATCGGTACTCAGGCAGTAGCGGCGGCAGCAAACAAATAGTCTGGCTGACAAGGGAGCTGCATGCCCTCCCCCCGTGGGGGAGGCCTCCTTAGCTCCTCCTAGCGTCCTCGACAGGCTATGAGATGAGCTCAGTTGTCGAAAAGGGAGAGTAGGCGCAATCGTGAAAAAACATTCTCCTGTGTCGCGCAAGGCCCGTGTGAAACTGGTGAGACAATGGACCTATCCTAGCATGGTACTTGTGCCTCTTTGTACAAAATTGGCCCTGGTGTGGTGGCTAAGAGAGAACTAAGGTTCTCCCTTGGCACCCTCCGAGGACCCTTGCCCTTTGTGCCCTTGAGGAACGAGAGCTAAGGCTCCCGCTCCCGCAGGCTCAGTGACCTGTAGCTGGGGAAGACGAAATGCAGGCTTTACTCTACTTGGTTGAACTGGACAAGTTCGATTTGAGTGACGGCGGGAAAGCACGCTACCCTCTTGTTAGCGCACTGCCGATCTAGGAGACGGCTTCTTGAAAGTCTTCGCTCCATTGATCATCATGTTTCGACGGCAGGAATCGGAGCCACTTGGGCTTGTCGAGTTGTTCACATTTGTCAAAGGCGTTGCACCATGCATATGTACCTCGCCATGTCGTGCATTTACCTACTTTACGAATTGCACGAAGTTGCGTGCAACTTGCGAAGGCACGTTGCGCAATGTAGAGTAGGGATGGCGGGATGCAAACCTCTTGCAACGAAGTGCACTTTAGAAAGGCTTCCTGCTCGATGGCTCGTAGATTTTTGGAAAGGCTAAGTAGCTGTAGTTGTGAGCAGTGCGCAAAGGTGGAGCCTAAGATTTCAATGACATCCGTTCGGGACAAATCAACGATTTGCAGCGCTTGACAGCTCACACAAGCAGCAGCTCCCATCCTGTGGAAGTCTGGCGGCAGAGAGAGCTCTACAATGCCTGCTTCCAAGAAGCAGCAATCTGGCAGGCTTCGGTTGGGATATGAAGACCCACACTCTGGCATGCCGAAGTTGAGGTGTCGCAGGGCTGCGCACCCTTGGAAGGCGCGAGGCCGCAGTTGTGCTTGTGGGGACAGAAAGTTACCAAGGTGCTGGGTTGCGCCTACTTGTGTTAGTGAGCACCACTCCTCAAAGACCTTGGTACCGAAATATTTGCAGCCCGGGCTGTCACTATTCGCAGCATTTGGCATCTGCTGAAGGCCCCATGCAAAAGACTGGCGACCGTCTCCGGTAGGTGAACTACGTGCAGCTGCCGACAACTCCTCCAGGCAGCCTCCCCTACAATCCGCATTCCGTCTTCGACCTGGACATGACGGACTTCCGTGTGGAAAGAGAAGGCTTGCGGTGGGACTTTATCATTCCTACCCCGCGGCACTCGGATGGACTTGGCTCTTCCCTTGAGGTGCCCTTTGCGCGCTGCCTCCACAAAACATTGCCGAGCAATTACGTAGTAACGTTGGCTTGCTCTCAGTTGGCTTTCTATGGGGTCGGCCAGGATCTGGTGGGTACCTGCTTGCACGAACTGCAGCTCACAACCAAAGGTGCTGGTGCTTCCTAAGTGGGGGGGCTCGGCTAATACAGCATTCTCGAAACTCTGAAGGCAAGTGTGTGCATTCGGTCTGCTGGTAGTGTGGTGAGCGTCACTTGTTGTGCCATCGCTCCTTCCTGACTCCCATGCAGGTTGGGGGCAACTTCAGCATTGCTCACGCTACGCTCTGACGTCTCCTTAACTTGAGCCCATAAAGATGCCTGGCCGGGTCGCTTCGTTTCGCCCATTTGCGCCTGGAGGATAGCGATTGTACCTCGCCCCATTGGCCTTGAGGACCTTTCTGTGCACAACCTGTAAGGCCTCGACGGTGAACAGTTACATAGACTGGACCCGAGCTAAGGCTCGCACCCAAGCACTAGATGATTATGGGGGTCACGCCCGGCAGAGCTCAGGCGAGACCAGAGACATATCCTGTTGAGTAGGGGCGCTATGTGTGCCGAGAGGCACAAGTCACCGTATCGAATTCATGGAGGGGTGCTAGAATGATGAGCCTGACCAAAGAAAACAGCAGAAACAAGGCCAACCACCAACCAACAACAACCAAACAGACAAGCAGCACCCAAAACCACCGAAACCCAAAAACGAAAGTCAGGCTCATGTCCGCTCTAGTCTGAAAAGTCAAAAGGTGCAGATCCGAAGATCAACACATGAGTGAGACGGGGCGATGAATTCGTTTCAAGCCGCTCTCAGTACAGGTTGTCCAAGCGAAAGTTGCATTCAGCTTGTTGGTAGAGGATTTCCTACCAGAGGTGCACTTCGTATAATTGCGTACGAGCAAGACTGGAAGGGGGGGTGAGGTTCAAGCTCAGTGCTTTGCAAGGTCCAAGGTGCGACACAACTCATATCAAAGAATGCATTCGCACCAATCGCAAAATGCGAGTATTCAAGGTGACCAATGCAATGTCAGGAACTCATCACATCATCGAGACAAAATTCCAGTCGACTAGTGTCTTTGGCTTGAGCTGCAACATCTATTTCGTTCTGAGCACCTACCTGAATCAGGCGTGGCGCAACGCTGTGCAGAAGGAGATACCGCAGTAGCCATGGAAATGCAAGTGCCTCAGAGTGCGGACTGTCGTGCAAGCCCCATGAACTATGTGAAACGTGAGGGCGAAACGCCGCTGTTCCTAGTGCTATTTTTCTGTACACTGTATCATCCCTGACCACCTCTTGGAAGGCAGCCAGGGGAGCTGGCTATCTACTCAGTGGCGCAGGCAGAGACGGTAGTAGGGTCGAATGGGAGGGACCATAAGCAATTCTACCACTGGGCCACTGGCGCCGTAGCACAGTTAGCTTTTCCATGTTGTCCCTTGCTTGCTACAAACATGCCTTATCACTCAGAGTGCCTTCTGCACAACTGATCATGAATTCTTCCCACTCTTCTTTCACTGCATCTGGCTTGGGAAGAGGCCGAATCCACGCTGGGAGTGTCAATTTGGCGCGCATCTCAAAAGTGTTGTGCTCCACATAAGTCCCCCTCCAAGTTTCTTTGTTGCCCATTCGGACGAGTTTGCATAGCTGCGAACAGCCAGCAAAAGCTCGCTTGTTGATGTAGAGTAAGGCAGGTGGGGTGTGTAGGACTTCTAGTGATCTGCACTTCATGAAGACTTCTCGCCCAATGCGTCTTAGGGCCTTGCTTAGTTTGAGACACTGTAATTGTGCGCAGCTGGCAAAAGCGCCCCCTACAATTTCCTGAATCTCAGTACGGGAGAGGTCAACTGTCTGCAGTTTTGTACAGTGTTCAAAGGCAGCTGACCCTATCCAGCTGAAGTCAGCAGGGAGATCAATCATTTCTAGCCCTGCCCCCAGGAAGCAGCCTTCTGGAATGACCCGATTCGGGTCTTGTGGGTTATATTTAGTCCTTTCCAGGCTAATCGTCCGCAAGGTGCAGCATTGCTCGAAAGTTCGGACATTAAGCCTGTGACGTTTCCTAAGAGCTTCTCGGGATTTGGGCTTTGGCCAGGTTTGAGGTGCTTGATACCCTCCAATGCCGTTTAGCTCACCCGCTCAGTCCGCGTTTGCGGGCCTGACCGTTTTAACATGGTACTGCTGCAACACGAGCACTTTTGCTTACGCGCGTGCTCTTACACAATGCTTCTGACTTAGAAGCACGCCGCGAGGCTCAAAGTATCGAGCGCGCAAAAGGCCAAGCTTATTTGGTTCGCGCTTCGTTCGCTCTTGTGGACCTTTGGGCCTGTAAGCATGGATCCAGGGGGATTGGTAGATCGCGCCACTGCGGCAGGCAATCTGTCTCCCAAATCCTTGAGCCTATTAAGCACCCATCAACCGGAACAAATCGAAGAAACCAACAGCAGGACCCACCAGGGCCTTGCGCCAAAAGCTTCACGATTCATGTTGAACACGCGCTCCAAGCCAAACACGCGCTTTAAAGAAGGCAGCATGGATAAAGGTGAGGCACAAGCGCACGCGCACATTCACATGTACATCTACCAACAAACAAACATGTACAAACAATACCTGTTTTCTCTGGCGGCGTGTGCTTTGATTGTAGCCGGGCGTTGATTATTTTTTGCGCACCGTGTGTTTTACTTGTTTTGTCCTGTTGTTCAGTCCATTTCCCTTTTTGTTGTGTAAAGTGTGGCACACGCACGAACAAAAGATTGGAAAAGAAGAAACGCTATGAAGGAAGGGTGGGCGCGGAGTGCTCTGGTTAGGTGTAACCGTTGCGATTCTAAGATTTAAGCCACTCAACCCCTTTAGGGACATGGTTCGTCGCGCTGACAGCGGAAGCGGAATGGGCGATGCCCTCTACAAACTGCAAAACACACAACGCAAATAGCTTTGCTTGCGGGTAACCAATTTACTGGCATGCAAAATGACTGCAATGACACGAAGAGCGGGCGGAGCGGCGGAACACCTGAACCAAACTATTTGTTTCGCTCGCGCCGGTCTCAGAATTTGTTTCCAACCAAGCAACACAAAGGTTCGTTTGCCAACCTACAAAATTCAAGTCGCCATCATTCTTGCGGGGCTACCCGCCTCATACTGACATGAACCGTTTTCACTGGGCCACCCGCAAACCATAGCACGTCGGCGGAGCTACCCGCGTTGAAAAGTAAGCGACCCGTTCATGTGTCGCCACGCTCTTCTTCCTTGTCGCCTTCCTTTTTTCCCTGAGCCCCAGGCGCAGCCCCAGTCTGAGCCTGAGCTTCTTCTGCGTCTGCACCACTTGCCGCTGCAGGCGGTTCTCCCGGAGAATCTCTCAGTGCCCGAGCCTTCACCATCGCTTCCCTGTTCGAGCCCCGTTTCTTTGCCAACAGGGTGGAAGCTTGGGACAAAGCCTTGTTGGCGGGCGTCACTTCGAGAAGCTTGTCAAAATCCATAGTCCCACCCAACACACCCATTCGTACTCCGATGACATCATCACCCAAAACCTTGTGAGAGACAATTGCACCAGCAGGTGTGTACAAGAGGTCAGAGGGCCCGATAGTGCCAGCAAAGGCGCCGCCCTTGGCCACAAGCTTGCTGATGTCAGAAGGTGAAAGGCGATGCGCCCAATCCATCAGCTTCTGAAGGCTCACGGGCGTCTCCTTCTCAATCTCTTGACAGTTCATCAAGGCATCCTCAAAGAGCACGATTGTGATAAACCGAGTACCTTTCCAAGTAGCTCGCAAACAAGGAAACTGGTTCAGCTCGAACTTCCCAATTGAAACATGTGAGGAAGCGATACCGAAAGAACTGGCAATCATCATCTTTGACAAATCTGGATGGCTGGCTGCGTCATCAGCCTCCAATTTCGCTAGAGTCCTAGTCGGGCCTTCCGCTGACGTGGAGATAGTGTGGGGTGAAATCTTCTGTTCGGAAGGCAAACAGTTGTAGAGGAAAGATGGGAGCGCAGCTGCCAAGCTTTCTGCAAGCGGGGCGTGCGCACGGCCCTCGGTCACCCGGTAATTGGACTGTTTGAACAAAGCGCCAAACTCTGCAAGTCGAGTGGTCAAGGCGTCATCCTTGAAGGGTCCATCAAAATTGCTCACGATGAATGGTAGGCTCGGATCCCAAATGCCTTGCAACTTGGGGCTTGATTGAATCTGGGCATCAGGACTTTGCCAGCATTGCGCGTCAGCATCCAGCAATGGGTGCGCCAAAAGGTTCTTCGAACGTTTGTGTCCTCCAGCACCTCCAAGGACACACGGTGAATTCAAGGGACAACAACTAAAATATCACTTCGGCTGTGCAGGAGTCAGCCATATCGTAAAAGAAAAAAACGTTACTGCCACATCATGCCCAGAACTTCAGAAGACAGAAAAGAAAAAACAAGACCACACCTCCACTAGGGTGTCCCCACTTCTTCGCCGCTGCTTCTTTCATAGCCTTTTCCTTCGCCTTCTCTTTTTGCTGCTGATGCTTCTTCCTCGCACCGCCGAGGTCATTAACGGCGGTCTTGCAAGACGACATCAGGACACCAATCAATTTCTTGACTGGGGCAATGGCTTCAATTTTCTGCGAAATATCCTCCTGGGAGGTGCATGTCTTGAACTTTGGAGCATAGTTCTCCAAGTGGGTAATCGGCTTGAGGTTTTCCCAACCACAGCATGGGCCTGCTCGACTCAAAGCGGACAAGTCTTTCGAATCAGTCACAGTCGCACCATCCTTGACCTTGACGCCCTCGGATGGCGCTAAAGCTTGGTTGATCTTCTCACTCAAAGCCTCCTCGTCTGAGTCACGAACTGCAAGCAGCCAGCTCTGCCTTCGCTCAACCAAATTCATTTCCTCTGAGAACAGCTGCGCCTCTTCTGACACAGCCCGTGCTTCAGCTAAAGCACGTGTCATTTCATCAGCCAACTTAGTCAGGTCAGCCTTCAAGGCGTTAACTGATGCCATGAAATTTCTTTCTGTCCTTCTGTTCTTTGTTTCAGCATCGAACCACGACTTCTTTTCAGGAGTCTCTCTTTGGCTCTCTTCTTCGGTTTGCCCACCCTTTTCTTCAGCTTCACTACTTTCTTGAGCTTCACTTTCACCCTCCTGCGCTTTTCTCTTTTTGTTGAGCTTTGTCTGAACTGAAGAGAGGATTCCATCCACATCTGGCCCCAGAGGCCTTCATCGGACAAGCCACCTTGTCCAGCAAAGGCCCGCATGCTCTTCTCCTTCATTTGGTCGTAGTCTCCAAAGTCATGCTTCTTCATGCCGTCCTCCCCCGTGACCATTTTCAAGCGGCTGGCTATGACAGCCTCATTGGTCTTCTTGCCCAGCTTCTCAGTCTTGGACAACTCTTTCTGCTTGCTCAACTCTTGGAAGTCTATGATCTTGTCTTTCGTTTTCACATACAACCGGAGGTAATTGCGAGGCCCGCCCTCATCTCTTGGATGGTTTTCATCACTGAGCCACCTCTGCCAATTCAGCTTGGCCTCTTCCATGGACAGGTATCCCCCCTTTGCAGTCTTTGTTGCCCACTCATAGTATTCACCTTCCCACATGAGCTCCCCTTCGCTTTCGCCTCTGATCCCTTGACTGGACTGCCAAGAGAGTTTGAATTCTGAGACGCTGAACTTCAATTTCTCGCCTGTCTTGCACGCTGCTTCTCGCTCCTTGATGAAGCTCTTGAGCAATGCAGCATGTTGTTTGGGGTCATCCCGCTCAAGTTTGGCGAGGTCCACTTTTGACTTCTGCCGCTGCGCTATCCGTTGCAAAGACCGGGAATGATTGAAACATTCCTTACACTTCGCTTGCTGATCATTGAAGGCGCACTCTTCCTTCCACTTTGAGCAAGACTTTCATTTGGCCCACCCCTGGTTCACGGTAGGATCACTGGACACACCTTTCTTAGGCGCCTTCTTTGCTTTGGCCTTTGCTTTTGCTTTTCCTTTTCCGTTCTTTTTTACCTTATTTTTCTTTTTACCTGATCTCTTGGATGGAGACTTGCTGGAGCCACTATCCTGACTGCACTCTCCGTCATCACTAGCCTCTGCCGCTTGTACAGCACTCAGGCAATCTGCATCGACCTCAAAACCCAAGGATGTCTGATCTTGGGGGTCCATGATCCTGCCAAGCTTCTTGCAAGACAGAAACTTCCCTGAACACAAAAATGGCGGATGAATCAAAAACAAACAATGCGAAGGCTGCCACTGTTGTCGTTACACAAATGTCGCATTAAAATGCAAAGCTAACAAATACAATGACCAATGACAAAGACTGAACTTGCTTGGGCACGGCAACCCTTTCAAACTCAAAGCGCTTGACCACAAGATAAGTGAAGGCGCAATGCAAACTGCAAGCTGCTCTTGCTTTCTCCCCAGACTGGCGGTTGCAAGGCTGACTCTGAGTCCTGCACAAAATCTAACTCCGGCAGCGCTATCCATTAATTAGGGCTGAGTTCGAAATCGCGAACTTGCCCCATGCCACACAGCTTTCACTCAGCTTTCCTGGCCTTCCACCATCGATGGCTTTTGCACACAGCCAAGGACAAACAGAATCACTGAGCCCACTGCCTGCAAGTGCATGCCATTCCCGGCGACAGACTTTAGCACCCGAGAAGGCAAAGCTTTCAAGGTCTCTGTGATTCTGCACTTGTAGAGATGCCCATGGTTATCTCCATCTTCTGAGCCGTCCGCATCCGCACCGAAAATGTTGTAGCCTTGCACTTCAAGATATTCAATCGGGAGTGCCCAACGCTTGCGGCCAAACAGCCAAAGATGCGTTTGCCGCAAGATGGCTGGGATTCTGAAGTGAGTGGCTTGCATGAAATCGGCTTTTTGCTGCAGGTTGCAAATCCATTCAGCCCTCTTGCCATCACTGCCAATGCGATTGGTCAGGGCCTTCTCATGGCTTGCGATGGAGTCCCGGACAGACCTTGATGAAACCTGGAAAGGGCTCCATGCCTTACCGCTGCGAGAAGAGAGTGGCATGCGCTGTTTGTGGATTTGCTCTTGCATGAACTCGTCCAAGACAGCCTTTGGCGCTCGAAACAATGCCTCTCCCAGCAACAAGCTTGTCCTTGCATAGATTCGTTCAAAGGCTGCTTGAATCCCGTAATCTGAGATTGCTGGGTGCCAGTGAAATGAATCTTTCCTCAATAGGATCATGTAGGCCCGTTGCCGCTCAGTCGGCTGGCCAAATAGGGTTGGCGAAAAGATCAAGAGCTCCAAATGGTACTGCTCTTTGACCATCTCCTTAAGGGTCTCCGCATCAAAAGTGGGCACGCATTCTACAAGCACAATTTGTTCTCCACCAAGAACTCTTTCTCGGAGCCACTGCAAAAATGGTAAGGCCGTCTTGCCCAGCCAGCCTGCCTTGCCCCCCATTGAGCTCCAGTCTGTACAGCTGACGCCTGCAATGTGCATGCTAGAGCCGGGAGAGTTTGACTCTGGAAGAACAGGACATTGACCACCGTGAACATGGCAATAAGACTTGAGCGCAGCAGCTTCCTTGGCGCCATAGGCTTGCGTCACTTGCCAAGCTTGCATGATAAACCTCTTTCCCACAAGGTGAAACGCTTCTGTCTTCGTCAAGCCATTGCTGACTTTCCGATCTCGATTCCTGCAAGCACTTTCGAGCGCTTGCTCAAGTCTCACACGACAAGGAGTGGGACACCGGTCCATGAGGTCACCAAAGACACACTCTGGGCTAAAAGGGCCACTTCGCATCCGCAAGACTTCTTGGCAATGCTGGTCGAGATCTCCAGCGCGAAGGTTTTTGAAATGAGGCATTTGTGGGACTGGCTCACCATGCATGGCGTCCTTGGCATAGAAAGCTGTCAGAAGGTGGTCTAAAGCCTCTTCAGGGCATCCTATCCCGCTGTAGTCTGTGGTGAGGCTCAATCCTTGATACAATCGGTCCCGGGCAACTTTGGTGAAGTCTTCACCAAAGAATTTCTTGCCTTGCTCAGAGAGACTATTCAAAGCGAAGGGTGGCCACTGCACACACTCAACGGCTGTGCATGGCCCAGGCCGGCGGTCATCCAGCAACATGCGCTGCTTCGATGTACTTGTCCTTTTCAAGCTATCTTGGATTCTTTCGTCTAAATCTGAGTCTTGGGGAAGGCCCACATCCACATCAGCCTGCCAAGCAAGGACCTGTGGCGGCTTGGACATCATGGCCTGATCACCACAGTGACACACGGCAAACAAATATCTATTTGAGCCTCGAAGAAGAAGAAAAAGTGGAAGGCCACATATGAGAGACACAGCGACCAAGACAAGAGAAAAGAGACTTGCATTTCAAGCTGTCCAACAACTAAAGTATCTGAGCAAGAGTTCCGATGCGAACGCCACACAACTTCAATGTACCCCTGGACACTTGCGAGATGAACAGAAGCAACCCTGAAAATCTTAGTCAAATGGTAAACTCATACAACTAGACTGCAAGCGCGTGTCTGCACAATTGCTTGAAGCTGTCAAAAGAATATCGGCTACTACGCTTGTTTTGGAACTTGCTCGAAGCATCTCCAGGCTTCATCTCCTCTGAAAAGTAGCCATCCAGATCGGCTCATAGAGCCCAACTCCTGACAATCATGCTGCGTCTCGTGAAAATGGAAAAGCACAGCGCTCTCATAAGAACAAATCACCACTAGACCTGACATGTTTGGGAATGTTTCCACTGGTGGCTCAAACCAGTGCTGTTTGGAATTTTCGTTCTGGTCTCAACAATGGGAACCAATCTTGAATAGGCCGCCCAAGTCCATTGTTAGGGGGGGCCTGTCAAGGACTTGGGCGTGCTTTTTCATGGCCAAACTTCAAGGAGCATCGGCAAATGCGGAAGTTCAAGTTTATTGCCTGTAGGCTGTTGTCGGTTTCGGGCGAACATATGAAAAACTTCTAAGTTTTGGAGTGAACTAAGCAAAAATATGGCAAAGAAACACAAATTGAAGAGATCCAATGGTGGTTGCATCAAACCATATCAAACCACTTGTAAGCCATGTCCGAGCCACGCCCGAGCCACCTCCGAGCCACATCCGAGCCACCCCCGAGCCACATCCGAGCCACTTCCGAACCACTTCCGAGCCACCCCCGAGCCACCCCCAAGCCACCGAGCCACTTCCGAGCCACTTCCGAGCCACTTCCGAGCCACATCCGAGCCACATGAGCTTCATAGGAAATGTTGGAAACTTCACACTTTTGCTGAAGCAAGTGAAAAGCTAGAAGAAAATTGGAAAACCCATCCTGTATTCTCAGGTTTCTACCTAAAATGCTGAAATCTTGATTCGCTAACTTTGTAAAGCCCCCAGGTTCCCAACGCCCGCGCTCTCCCTCATGGTCCTCGTTCATCCTTCACGCCGGATCAGCCGGATCTTGTAGGCGCACGAACGGGAGTAGTATGATTCCTCAGACATTTCCCAGCTTGAAGAGTCGCTGGCCTCAGCCCCACCATCACGCTCCACCAGCGGGGCTGCCCGCTTTTTTGGGACTCGCTGCGGGGCTTCCCGCTTTGGTTCAATGTCTGGCGGGGCTACCCGCTCCTCATTTGGCGAGGCTGCCAGCGATTTGGCTGTCGTTGCCAAGTTCTGGCCATTCGACTTTGCATACGACTTGGCTTTCTTTTTTTTTGATCTTCCTCGTCTTCTCAATGTGTTTTTGCTTTTTTTCTTTCTTGCACTTCGATGTCGTTTTCGTCTTCCGCGCCTGCGGATTTGAAGGCCCCGGGCCCTCGGAATCGGTAGCTTCATCCTTCGCGGCCAGCGTTGTCTTGGTCAGCATATCTGTGGAACTGGCATTGGAAGGATCAGCAACGCTCTCTCAACTCTCTCAACTTGTGTGAAGCCAGGGCCGCGGTCA